ACTGGATGATACGCTGGAGGAGCTGTATTATGGTTAGAAGATATTCTTGACAGTAGAGAAGGATGGAAGGTGACAAAGAGCTCCGGCTTACCTTGTGCGTATCCATATGACCCGGTCGTGCCAGGCGGTGGCGGGACTGTCCAAGGGGAGTTCATGGTGCTAAACATTCAGACGTCGCGATGAGATTTTGCTTGGGTATCAAAAAGTAGTTAGTGACGCGATTATGATTGCAGAGGGTAGTAAAGGTCGTAGAGTTGTGGGCCTTGGGGTGGTTGTGATCTGTCAAAGAAATGAAAATGGGTGAGGCCGGTAGAAATGGAACTCGGGTAGAAGCGTGCTGACTTATACTTGGCCTGATGACTCTTGAGGTATTTTACAGCACTCTGAATTCACTGATAAGGCACAACCAAGACGACAGTGGATCAAGTTCAAGTTCAAGGCTAGAATCGAAATCCACCATATTTTCGATGCCTATCTTCATGCGAACAGCATTCTACAACCTGCGCCATCAAGTCGCATTTCACTATATGGCACGACCGAATGTTTCTAAAACACATTGACCTTACCACTGCGTTAAGGCCAGCCTATTTACCAGACGAGGTCCTTTTATTCGTCCAGGACAATGTGGGGTTGTATGAGGGGTGAGTACGCAAGAGGAGAACGCAGGAAAGGAGGCTTATCAACGGTCTCTAGGAAGTTCAAGATACCTGATCACCAGAGTGGACAGGTTTATTTGACGTCTCATAGAATCTGCTACGTGGACAACGAGGATCCCCGGAAGCACTCTGTGGCTATTGACCTGAAGGATGTAGACCGCTATGAATTCTATGTAGGCTCTGTATAACTCGATTTTGATTTTGATCTATCATTATCTGACCAAGGCAGGCTGGATTTTTGAAGTCTTCTCCTAAAATAACTTTGGTCCCAAAGCCAGCCAAACGATCTTCCGTCCAAAATCGAACTGTATCGAACCTTAACGCTCCCTCTAGAAGTGCTACAGCTTCACCCCTTTCCCGATCAGAAACTCCTTTCCATTTACCTGTAGCAGATTCAGCACCGACGAGTACGGCTACATGGATCTGTCCGATATGCACCTTCTCGAATCCAGTGCCCTCCAACTTCGACCCTACCACAGCGAGCGTGCATACTCCTCTAGCTCCATGTTTAGCATGCGGGATAAAGCCGCCCCTGGCTCACGTCCTGAAGGCAGCAATATCAAATGCTACGAATAGGTCTACACAACCCACATCAGTTCCTTTAAAGACGCCAATACCTGTCCGTGCTGGTAGCAGATCAGACATACCTCGGCCTCAGTCTGATGCAGTGGACGAGCCATGGGCACGCCAGAGGGAAAGAGAAGAGGCCGCTTTACAACAGGCAATTAAGGCTAGCAACGGCTCCTCCTTCCCATGTCCTAGATGTACATTTTTAAACCATCCTTCTTTACCGTCCTGTGAGCTGTGCGGCGCATCACTGGTATCTCAAGACGTCCCAAATGGCTTGGACAAGCCACTACCAAGGACAGGGTCACCTGGTCCAGTGTTAAATCATCTTCCAGGTCCTGGAATGGAGACTCATGAAAGTATTAAACTCTCTTTCAGAGTTGGAGGAGAAAAACTTTTCCACGAGCGACTGAAGGGATGCATGGTCCAACGTAAATGGCTTCTGCAGGGAGCTCCCCCTGTACCCAAGCCCAATCGGCTAGATGACGATGGAGCCACAATTTTAGGGGCTGGAGAAAGAGTAAAGACAGTTGGCATTGCTGGTCTTGAGCAGCGACGTTTAGAGGTTCAAAAGAACAACGAGCTAGTTATTGGAAATGCTTTCGAAGACCTTGAGGCATTGATGGCCTCTGCCAAAGAGATAATAGCACTTGCTGAATCGTTTGCGAAAACAAATGGTACAAATGGCAACTCGGAATCGAGCGAAGTTGCAAATGCTTTGGGTTTGGTCACAACAAAGGACATGCTTGGTGGTGGTAGCAATTCGGAGTCACTTTACATCTCCGAACTCTCTCGAAATTTGGCGGAGTTCTTAACAGATGACGCTCGAGGTGTATTGCGCAAAGCTGGCGGAATTATCAGCCTGGTCGATCTGTGGGCTATGTTCAATCGTGCTCGAGGTGGAGTTGAACTTGTGAGTCCTCTGGATTTTGAAAAAGCTGCTAGGCTTTGGGAGAAACTGAAACTTCCTGTTCGGTTGAGACAATTTAAAAGTGGTGTGTTAGTTGTTCAAGGCAGCGATCGTACTGATGAGAAAACCATCAAAGCGTTGCTAGTTTGGCTCAATGATCTGCATTCATTCCCACCAGAGAAAGATCTTCTCTGGGACTGGCGACAATTTGGTAGAGGCGTGACAGCTCAAGATGTCGCCGAACGCTTCGGTTGGAGTATTGGTGTTGCAGAAGAAGAACTCGAAATGGCCGAGGAAAAAGGAGTTCTTTGCAGGGAAGAAGGCATTGAAGGCCTCAAATATTGGGAGAATTGGATTGACAACACCCAATCCCCAAGACCTAGTGATCTACATAACGTAATCTAAAAAGAAACACAACAATATCAACAGCTAGTTCTGCAAGAGGTCACAAGTGCAAGGTAGTATGCCGCAAATCTCGCTGTCTTGAAATCATTCACAGGATGTCGGGTTGTATTCGCCAATCATGCACTCAAACGTGTTCCATTGAAACACCTCAATTATTGTACTCAACAGTTTCTTGAAACATCTAATTATTTGAACCCCTCGTCTCCCTCGTTCTTTATGTTGTTCGCTTCAAAAGTTTGCAGAATATTCCAGTCAAACTTTAACACTGCTAGAAGATTGTGAGGTAGCAAATTCTAACAAAAGTTCAAGCTTAAATACCTCGGACGCCTCGGCTTGTCTTACATTGGCCTCAAGCTACTACTTCTGTCTCACACAATTCAAGATTCCCAACATGCCTTCCAATGCGCCTGATGCCTTCTGGGTCTGTTGCAAGGTCATCGTTCACAAGAATGGAAATAAAGCATTCAAGAGCTCGGTAAGTATTTAAAGTCCCTTTCACCCTCTCTCAAGTCTGGATCATATCTGACCATTACTTAGTGTGGAAGCACGATAGACGTGCAGGAAGAGTCGTGCCCAACCTGTGATCATTCACGCTGTTCTAGATGTCAAACCTGGTCTCGACAAGTCAAAGAGTCGCGAAGAGGAGCTGAGAAATTGTGATTTTTTGGAAATGGATCAACGAATTAATGAATTAACGAACTAATGGGTGATGGGTAATGGGTAATGGGTGATGGGTACTTTTATTAGGATCTGTTAACTGAAGGGGAAGGGAATAGGAAATTGGAAAGAACCAAATTGCACATACATGTACTCTACTGTACTGTACTATTCACGGACGGGTTTTAGGTTTTGGGAGAAATGCTTATTCACAATTCATATATGGGTCGTATTCCACAAACCAAATCCTTCCTTCCCAAATCCCTTCTTATATCTTTAGTCCCCTCATTTCTCACAACTGCCTCTCTCCGGATATCAACCTAGGAACGGGAGAAATTAAAACGCAACCCCAACGCCCTCTCCACAAACGAAACCAACCCACTCCTTTCTCTCTTCTCTCTCTTCCTCCATAACGCACGAAAAGATGAGAAACCAGATGTCTTGAGTTTCTTCTGGGTTTGCTGCCATCATCGGCTGAAGGAGATTACTACTAGGAGAAAGGGTCCTGTAAGCGCTTCGCTTCCTCTCATATTGCACCCCAATTTGAGTATTACGAATACAAGAAGTGTGGAAGTGTATAGTTGATGGGATATAGTGCATAACATGCAACTCCCTCGTGTCCAAAGTCAACGGATTGTACAGCTACTACCGGTGCAAGGGCAGCCCATATACTGCTATAATGGGGCCGGACGAGTCGAAGCTGAACACCTCTGCTGGAGTACCAATTCTTCCAATGATTATCGAACTGGACGAGGATATGAACTCGATGAGAGCGGAAGAGATAGTGCTCGTAGCCGAAGTCTTACCGATTTGTCACTGTTGGAGCCGAGAAGTATGAGCGGGGATATGAAGAGTGATTTGATTGGCCTTTAGAGTGGTAATATTCAAAACGTGGCTGGTAGAGAAAGGAGTGTAGGTTAGTCCATTTGAAGCCGATGTAGTACCATTACTTCGAGTCCCGAGAATGAGGCAGGGAAATAATTAACATGATCCAGGAAACATAAGTATCTAAATGAATAACACAGATCTTTCTATCCGGAGATGTTCTTTATGGTAGTGGTAATATGTTTTAAGTCCTGCCTACACTCTAGGTTATTATAATTTTAGATGCTAGGATGGCATCTAAGGTGCTTAACGCTTAAATATCTATTCAGGACAACAAGAGTTCCTGCTAGGTCTACGAAAATCGAATCTTAAATAACCCTCTGCCTATTAGGCAAAATTGTAATAATTGTACCTTTCAAGCATTTCGATCTTGAAAGCATGTAAATCTAGAATAGGTATAGGCTATGCATATTCTAAGAGACAAGTGAGATTACCAAAGATAAACTTACTTTACTAACATATTTATATGGGGGTATATAAAACCGAAGAGTTCGAAATTGGGGGGGGGGGTTACTTATAGAAAAGTAGTATTAGCACAAGAAAGGAAATGCATTACGATACTTTCGAGAAATTCAACAAGGAAGTCAACAAAGTAGGATAGGTGTTTAATAAAATAGATGATTTTTTTTTCCGGACTTGGACACATCCATCGATATGGTAAGAATTATGGCTTGTGTGATATTCACGTCAATTGGCCAGGATTACAAAAAAAAGATGCTATCGAGCTATTGAAAAATCTTAACGCGCTTAGTATGGGTTTCAACAAAAGAGTAGTGAACAAAGAAAATTATGCATACTGTATATAAAAAATAACGAAAAAAGTATAAAATAGGGGATGTTTGCCAAGTTCATAGCAATGTCACACCAAAAGAAGCAATCAAGCACCATAAAATCAACGACAAAAACGAAGTCAGAACGCTGGGTCTTGCCGGGACTTGAACCCGGGGCCTCTCGCATTGTTTGTACTATGTACAGTGTACTTAGAGTGCTCCCTAAGCGAGAATCATACCACTAGACCACAAGACCAACGGTTTTAATTGTTCACGAGTTGCGCTTATTTAGGTATATGAAGGGTATAGTAATTTCAGTGGTTTTAGTGGTGGGAATTAGTTGTGTGGGCCGGAATTTAAGCGAGCGTCTATATTTGTGACTCACTTTCCCGGGATAGAGCCGATGGGAGAGAAAATCTATTTTAATAGCATGAAAGGACCATTGTTGTCTTATACTTAAAAATACACATTGGAGTAAGAACCTCGGGTTTCTGTATCCAATTCATGGTTGAGAGATGTAAAATATTTTTCAAATTCTACCCGCTATTTCCCGGAACTTTTGCGGCTGTACCACGATTCTTAGATATGAGGATCTCAGCTTAAGTTAGGGTCAGTTAAATCAATCCAGGCTTCTTGTCCATGTTTGTAATGTTAAAAGAGTTCCAGATTGTACATGTAATTCGTGTTTTTGAAGTTACTTCCCTCTCATCATATAATGGCAGTTCAAATTCAAGCTTGATATATTGGCTTGAAAATGAATTATACTTTGCATTTTCTGAGCATAGGAATAACACCGATCACTAGCTCACTTGCCCCCAAAAAATTTCATTAGTGGTCTTCACCGTGCTATGATGTTGCTAATACTGAGAAGACCATGATTGAATCATATAGTATAAAATGCCCATTATCTTCGCACTGTTGTGATTCAGTTTAAGTTCCAACCATTCACAAGCGATATACCTACCTATATATCTCAAAATCTTGAATATCCTCCGCTACACAAACAGCAAGTCGGTTCCAAACCCAAAATATCAAAGAAATCACAACCACAGATAGCAAAATAAACATAATATTGACCAGCAATCCGATAGTAGAAAAAAGAATGGCGCTAATCTCAAATGCTATTACAAGTCTTGTAGCAGGCTCTCGCTTGAAAAGAGAAGAAACATACTATCTCTGTTGCAAAGCACGCCATCCAGAAAGCCACTCGCCAGTATATCCCCTCTCCCACATCAACACGAAATCTCTAGCAAATATTTATGTACTAATTCCAAATAGTGTTTAGGTCGTATCACAAGGACTACTTTGACGTGTTCCAGATGCCAAACACCCAAATGCAATGACTGTTTGCAACGAGGTGGTCCTGCGGAAAATGTTGAAGAGGATGGCCGTCCTATCAAGGGTGATCGTAGGTATGAAGGCCTTTATGTATGAGAGATTCAATGGTTTTAAGCTCTATACTGGACTATTAGCACTTAGGAGCAAGCATGATGGAAACGATATATAAATGGTGTTTTGGGGTAACTTTGGGGAAATTTTGATCAGAGATAGTTGCACCAGATATTGAAATAGAGATACTATATATAGAGAAATGAAATTTGGTTGCATCTACCTAAATCATGGGGGTTTAGAGTTGTGCCAAAGCAAGCTAATTTTCGTCTACTTTTTCTGAGTAAACTCGGGTGCTGTGGGGATTTCAGTTCCGCGTTTATTTGAGAGGCGAGAGATAATGTGGATGCCATAAGTGAGTTCCATTGGGCTAAGCAAAATTTGTGAGATTTGTGAAGTGTACTATTGAGAATAGAACGAAAGGCTTAGATTAAGCGACCGCTTACCACATATCCGTAACATCACGCAAAGATCACCCTCTGTGAAAAGCATAGGAATGGGGAGCCAGTCTCATTGGAGTTCATTTTCCGTACCTGTAGAGCTTTAGTATCTCCAGACTTGTCATCTCTTATTTAGCCTCGCTGAACATAAAAATGCAGACATGGGTTCATCTGCAGGCTGACCTAAATAGTAAATAATACGCAATAATAATATAGGGATTAAGATATCTTTTTCATCTTTGAGTTTTATTTCATATGACCCTTTTCCAAATTCTACTTCCCGTTTATTGTATTAGAGGATGTATTTCAGGGTGTGCAAGAGGTCGCTATTTTATGCCAGTTACTAGTATAATATTCAATTAAGGTAGCTGCCATCTATTTACATCCCATAGTCTTTTTGTTTAATTCACAGGCCTCAAGATGATGTTATCTATCAACCTCACTGACGGTCCGTCGGACAATCCAAGATCTTCTCCTGGTTGCGGGGATTCGACTGGTAACATTTTTACAGCACCACTGAGGATCGCTCCTCTAGTTTCATCCACTTCTTCTAATTCCTCCATGGTATCTGGATCTGCGAAAGAAATATAGTCAACTTCAAACTTGACACTCTCGTGAGCTGGAAGTTGGTTTTGTTCCAGGAGCAAAAGTTTTGCTAATTCATTCGCAGGACCCAAAATTTCGTCTCTCGATCGACCTCCTCGAAGATAATTAGTCTCCGCGACCTTAAGGACCTTTGACAACACAGTGGCAACTGTCCGTCTTCGAGTACCCAAATAAATATTTCTCGAGCTCAATGCTAACCCATCCGCTTCTCGTTGGGTCTTACCAACTACAACCTCCGTGTTCAAACAAAGATCCTTGACCATTTTCTTAATCACCACCGTCTGCTGTACATCCTTTTGCCCAAAATAGACCTTCTCTGGTGCCACAATATTGAACAACTTCATACAGATAGTAGCGACACCCCGAAAGAATGTTGGTCGACTTGCTCCTTCCAGAAGCTCCCCAACCGGGGTAATTGTAACAAAACTGCCTTTGCCATTGATTTCCTGACTTGGCCTACCGCTTGGGTACATGACTCCAGTCGTTGGCGCAAATACTGCTGCAATAGAGCCCAAGTTATTTCCATCCCCAGCAAGCTCCTTATCAAGATCTCTGAGCATATCACAATCCTTCTCCCATGTTTTTGGATAGCTGTCTAGGTCTTCGTGTACGCCGAATTGTGTAGGATTGACATAGATGCTGACGACAACTCGATGGTTTTCGGTAGCTGCCATGCGTATCAAAGACAGATGGCCTTCGTGCAAAGCTCCCATAGTGGGCACGAGACCGATACTCCTGTGGTCGAGTAACTGTTTTCGACGCCATTCTCGTAGTTGGGGTATTTCTCGAAAGATCTTGATTGGAGTGTGAGGAATGACTGGTGCTCTTCTACCATGGTGCGCATTTCGAGAAAGTGCCAATGGGCAATTTGAGACGAGATTTGAGGTCGTCGTGCTACGGAGAAGCCGTGAAGCACTGTTGGCTTTGGTTAGCATAGTTGAAGAATAATATCAAGTGTGGTTCCAAGGAGGGTGTAAATCGTGTAGGGTTGCAAAGAAGAATTGCCCCTTTTCAAGGGCCATAACAAGAAGAGAAAAGCGGTCGAGTCATCCTGTGATGGTATCTGCTGCGTATATCGAAGCCCGAGAAACTTTTGACAGCTTCAACCATGAAAGACCTTTCCTAAATGTAGTTAGGCTTCCCGTCAAATGGCGGGGACTTTGTTATGGTCCGTGCGCTAGATTTTTCGATAACGAAACTTTTCAGATTTTATCGCAGCTCGCAGATTAACAAGCAGCACATTCGTTGAGCGCCACAAAGGAACGCAATTATGGCCGATGATGGCATGCTTATGAACTTCGAGATTGGAGATGCTCCAATTTTTGCCAGACAATCCATACACGGAGGGCGATGGAAGGATCGACTTGCTGCAAAACGAGAAGTTCGCCAACGACTTTCAAACAATCCGAACCACCAACTACGCACCAGAGAAGTATTTCATGAAAAGCAGCATGAACCGGTGGTGGAAGAATACATTGGGCCTAAAGCTTATGAGCGACCAGCTAAAAGACAAAGAGTTGACCACCTTGGGGGAAGATCGGAGCACACTGCTGCAGTGGTTTCTGGCAAACTAGCACCCGGTAGTATAAAAATTGGGGGATCAAAAGCAATAAAATTCAATGATGAGGAAATGAATTCTACCCCAGTGGTTCCCAAGCCGTTTTCCACCAGCTCGAGATCTCCCAATCACTCAGGAAATGGTGCGAGAAATTCCCACCAAACCTTTGTGTCCGGAAAACTTCCTCCTGGAAGTATCAGCACGCATAGTAAAGAGGCGGCTAGCGCAAAGCCCGGGCAAGTCGTCTCCTCACTCTTTACGTTCAACCCTTCCTCCAAAAAGACATTTGACGAGCCAGAAGAGGAGCAGGAACCAGCGAAACCATCCAATGCCCCACTCACAGCAGAAATGGAGACGTTTACGAACTTAGGGCTGTCGAGACGGTTAGCAGCTCACCTTTCGACCAAAATGGACATGAAAGCTCCTACGGCAATTCAAAAGGCGGCCATATCTCAAATGATCAAAGATGATAGCGATGCTTTCGTTCAGGCAGAGACTGGATCCGGTAAAACTTTAGCATACCTTCTACCTATTGTAGATCGAATATTATCTATGAGCAGTAAAGATGCGCAAGTGCACCGAGATTCTGGCTTGTTTGCGATTGTTCTTGCTCCTACAAGAGAATTATGCAAGCAAATTGCCTCTGTACTAGAGAAAGTGCTAAGATGCGCACCTTGGATCGTTGGAACAACAGTTATTGGAGGCGAAAGCAAGCAATCAGAAAAGGCAAGGTTACGAAAAGGTGTCAATATCTTAATCGCTACGCCGGGCAGACTTGCGGATCATCTGGACAATACTGAGGTATTGTCAGTGAACAATGTTCGGTGGATCGTTTTGGACGAAGGTGATCGATTAATGGAGCTGGGTTTCGAAGAAGAAATCAAAAATATTGTTGAGAAAATTGGGCGAAGAGCCCTTATTTCGCATAACCTTAAAGGTCTGGACTTGAAAGCATTGCCAACTCGAAGAATTACAGTACTCTGTTCTGCTACTATGAAAATGACTGTTCAACGTTTGGGAGAAATTAGTCTTAAGGATGCTGTCCACATCAAGGCAGATCCCACTGAAGAGAACCTTGTGAACACCGCTAGCGGAGGAGAGGTTGACGACAAAGCCTTTTCGGCACCAGCACAGCTCAAACAGGCTTATGCTATTGTTCCTGCAAAATTGCGTCTCGTCACCCTAACCTCCATCTTGAAGCGTGCATTTGTTCGCAGAGGCTCGGTCATGAAGGCTATCGTCTTCATTTCCTGTGCCGACTCT